CTCATTATGTCGCGTACGCGCGCGTCAAACCCTGGTGTCGTCGTCGGGCGACTCCAGGCGGCTCTCACTCGTCGCATTCTGCCTGTCGCCGTCGCGCTGACCGTCGCTTACTTGGCGATCTTCGAGCTGCGACCCAACCTGCTCTCCGCTGATACCGCACAGCTGTCGGGGTCGACGCTTTTCCCGCAAAGCGGCTGCGAAACGGCGAGGAATTGCCACGGCACACTGCTGGACAGATATGTTTATACCGCGGATGCGGAATTCGGGTGAGTTTTTTCCAGCTGTACTGCACACAGCAAACACCATTCGCCTTCGCAGAAGCAAATGACGGCTACCGAACCAGCCAGACTCTTCCAAGTTCCACCCTGAGTCGAAGTATGCCATCCGTGAGGTCAAAAAGCGACCCATTGTTTACCCTCTGGGTCTCACCACACCACAGTGGTCTCACCAGAGTGTTCAGAGGGTCTGTTCAGAGGGTCTCACCAGAGGGTCCCTTCTCAGTGAACCCTTGCTCACTGTCAAACTGAGAAGCGGGTAGCACGCAGCAAGCTCGGTTTGGCCGACCAGTGACGTTCACCTCACTCAAGGCCGAAGGGTCCCTCCTCACTGAATCCTTGCAACCTCAAAGTCCCTTGGATCCTGGGCTTCATCGTGCACGCTTGTTATAAGCACAAGTTGAAGGCCTGCGCGTTTGAATCGCCTTTTGGTGAGACCGAGTTGGCGAAGGTTAGGTGCTGCTCGTCTGCTTCTGCCCCGCCTGTTGCGAGTCAGGGGCTTTCCTTCCACCCAAGTGGGAAGGAGGACACGTGGGTAACTGGGTAACCACCTGCGGTCAGGAACCTGGAGGTTGGTGCCGAGGACAAGGCTGTAACCACTGACTGATCCCATACCTGCCTTGAGTTTGCGTGCTCACATATCTCCGCGTTTTAGCTCTAGCAATCTGCGTGGGGCTAGGTATGCTTGTGCTCTCTCTCTCCCACCTCCCTCCACTTGTGCTGAGGGGAGGTTTAGTATGCTTGTGCCCTCTCCCACCTCCCTCCAGGCACAGGTGGCTCAAAAGCACTGTCACTCGCACTCACCAACCCGTCCTACCTACCTTATGGTGTCTGTTACAGTTAATCTCTCTCTGCCCTGCTGCTGGCAGGTGGAAGGACACGGGCAACCGCATGCAAGCCAAGGAGCTAAAACCTCTTGTAGGAATTCTCATTCTTTTCCTGTGCCTGGCTGCACCTGCTCTCAGGTGGAAGGACACAGGCAATCGCATGCGAGCCAAGGAGCCTGGGGGGTGGTGGACGGGGTATGTGCTGCTGGTGAACACCCACCGCTGGCTCAACCGATCCGTTACCAACCGATTCCATTGGTGGCACCACCTAACGCTTATTGTGAGCATGGGCTTTCGTTTCAAGCTGCACTATATAGCTTCAGGCTGGTGGGGCATGATGAGCTTCACATAGTTCTGAGAAACAGCGCTGTCGTTCCCAATCAACCAACATGCGGAGCATTGGTCTCGTGCACTTGATTACTGCAGTGTGGGTGTAGTTGGTGTGGTGTTGGTGCTGTTTGGTGCGGTGCCATGAGGTACTGTCCCATGAGGTGCAAAATGGGTGTTTATGCCATGTGGTGGCAAGGCAAGGCATGAAGCCTAACCTTCAACGGTTGCCTCCAAGCTGTCCTTTTTCTCGCTACCCCCATCTCCAAATGGCATGCCAAACGTGAGCAGTGTTCGGTGTGAACTTCCTCACTGCGGTGCTCATGCCATTTGGTGCAGTGCAGAGGGGTGAGATGAGGTGCCGAGCGCCAGCAAGGGGCTGGTGCTGTTCTTTATGGTATGGTGCTTTTTTATCTAACGCATGTCTTGTGCATCCTCAAAGCATGTTTTGTGCATCCTCAATGCATGTCGTGTGCATCCTCAATGCATGTCTTGTGCGTCTTCAATGCATGTCTTGTGCATCTTCAATGCATGTCTTGTGCGTCTTCATTAGGCTTGAGCAGGGTCTCGAACACCTGTTTGGTTCACCGCAAACGAACCGGATTTTTTTTTGGTTAAAAATGTTAGGGGCGAACACGTTCGTGTTCGACTCACTACTGAAGGCCGAGCCGCGTCGAACACGAACACGTTCGTTCGACTCGCTACTGAAGGCCGAGCCGCGTCGAACACGAACACGTTCGTTCGACTCGCTACTTTAGGCCGAGCCGCGTCGAACACGAACACGTTCGTTTGACTCGCTACTGAAGGCTGAGCCGCGTAGAACACGAACACGTTCGTGTTCGACGCTAGACATGAGCAACGAGCGAACCGAACACGTTTGTCTCGAACAGTTTGCGAACACTTGGTCAATTCGAACCGAACCGAACACGTTTGACTCGAACAGTTTTCCTAAATGTTAGTGTTCCCCGTTCGAGTATAGGGTCGAACAGTTTTGAGGCAAGGCCGAACACTAAGGTGTTTGACCCGAACTCGAACAGTTTGCCTTGGGGGATTCTTTCAGTATAGTCACATTCAGGCAGGGCGAGTCTACTAGAAGCAATGTCACGTTCCCTTTAGCCCTACAAGAGATATAGTTAGGCTTGGTGCAGATCTGGTGGATATCCAATTTTGCCTTGCTAAACTCCAACCTAAACCGTAATGCCCTTAGTTCCTTTTTTCAACAGTCTCCTACCCTAATCCAACCTTATACCTAACGTTTCCAGCCACAAAGTGGAATTTTAACTGTGGGAATGTGTTAGTTTAAGTGGGTAGGGGGCGGAATGCCATCCTTAGGCTATATCGACGATTGAGCTCATTCTTGAGCTAAATCGTCGCCCTCCCCTTTTAGATCCAGCCAGTGCGTCAAACTTTGATGCGCAGATAAATGCACGAACACCTAGGTGTTTGCGACGAACACATTGTGTTCGCGAACACCTTGGTGTTCGTGCATTTTTCTGCACACGAACACTCGAAGGTGTTCGTCACGACGAACACCTTGGTGTTCGTCACGAACAATTTTGGGCAAAAAAACCATTCGAACACGTTCGAGTCGAACACTTTCGAGTCGAACCGAACAGGGGTTCGATTTTTTGCTCATGTCTATTCGACGCGGGGCGTCGACGAACACATTTGTGTTCGTGGACGAACTGTCCCGCGACCAATTTTTAGGTTGCGGGACTTTTTGTTTGAGCTCATTTTTTGAGCTCAAACACATCGCGACCTTAGCGCCAGCGCCCTTACGCCCACTATTACCGATAAGTAGGAGGAATAGGAGCAGCAATACTCCATCATTAAGTAGTTTCTAGCTCATTGCCTAGTTTCAGGATGGAGGAACATGTAGAAGCTGATGTTTAGTTAGATAGCAAGCGTTTCTCCACTGGTTTAGGGTTCCTTCTCATATAGTTCCGGAAATTTGTTTGTGGGATTCGATAGAGGGACAATCTTCTGGCGGTTAAGGGCACATTAGTACATTGCATATACACCAATACACCCGTAACCTCCATACCAAACATCAGGTGAGCCCAAATTCACTGTTTGCCATGTGTGACTATAGTGAATGTAGCCCCGGGGCGAACACGAACGTGTTTGTGTTCGCCTTCACAGTCGAACGGCGAACACCTTTTTTGCTAAAGCTGTTCGGCGAACCGAACACTGTTCGGTTTGCCGACCAGTGGTGTTCATGCAGTGGCGAACGCGAACACGTTCGTGTTCGCCTCTTGCTCAACCCTAATCTTCAATGCATGTCCTGTGCATCTTCAATGCATGTCTTGTGCTTCTCCAATGCCTATCTTGTGCTTCTCCATCCATCCTCTCGCCCTCCCAGGCGCCAGACAACATGTCGCGTGCCAGCAAGGGGCTGGTGCTGTTCTTCGTTGGGGCGGGGTGGAACGACCATGGGCGGGGCGACTGGAGCTACCACATCCCCAAAGACACCGACGTCTTCATCCGCGTCGCTGCCCCGTGAGTGGCGTGAGTGGCGTGAGTGGCGTGATTGGCAGGGAGGGGCGTGCAGTGCAGTGTGGCGCGGTGCAGTGCGGTGCAGTGCAGGTGGGCGTGAGTGGGTGGGAGCACCGTGTAGACATGAGCACAAGGGCGAACACCTGTTCGGTTCGCCTCGAACGTGTTCGAGGCGAACCGAACAGGTTTGTTTTTTTTTGCGTAAATTGTTCGCCAAACAGTGAACGTGTTCGGGCCGCTGCTGCAATTTGCCCCGTGACGAACACGAACGTGTTGGAGGTTCGCCCGAACATGCCTTCACAGGCGAACGGCGAACACCTGTTTTTGCTTAAAGTGTTCGCCAAACCGAACAGTGTTCGGTTCGGCAAATGGATGTGTTTGTGTAGGGGCGAACACGAACATGTTCGTGTTCGCCCCTTGCTCATCCCTAGCACCGTGTGCCAAGGGGTGGAATGGCCATGGCAGGGTCGACCGGCACTACCACATCCCCAAACAGACCGGCGTCCTCACTTCATCCGCGTCGCTGCTCTGTGAGTGGCAGAGAGGGGAGCGATTGCAGTGATGGCTCTCACCCACAGTGCAGGTGTGACTGAGTGGAAGCACCATGTGGCGTTACCACATTCCCATGCACACGGACGGACGCCTTCATCTGTGTTGCTGGTTGTGAGTGGCATGAGTGGCGTGAGTGGGAGGGACTTGAGTGAGTGGGAGGGGCGTCTTAGGTCAACTCAAAAGGTGTGTTATGAGTGGGAAGGAGAGGCTGCAATTTGCGTGTTACAATTCTAGGTTTTCCAACTTTTAGTAAGTTTGTTTTTGGTTGGGTTGGATGCAGAATTTTTATCCCCAACCGATCCAACCCTATCCAAACCCATCCATCCAAAATCTCCTTGATTTGGATGGATCCTCCTAGGATTCTTTCCAGTTGCAACTTATCCACCCAACCCCTCCTAGTTTGTGGTACTTAAGGCCATGTATGTTTTTCTTTAATCAATCGATTCAACTCTCATCTCTGACAACAAGTGCAGTGCGTTGCCTGTTTCCACCCACGTTGCAGGTGTGCGTGAGTAGGTGGAGCATGAGTGGGATTGAGGGGCGTGAGTGGGAGGGGCGTGAATGGGAGGGGCGTGAATGGGAGGGGCGTGAATGGGAGGGGCGTGAGCCTTGTGCTTGTTGCATCGTCCTTCTTCCAGTCCCCCCCATTTCTTCCACACAACCTCTCCCCACCCCCTCCCCCCGTTTCTATTTTTTTCCCCTCTCACCATCTTGCCTCACATTCAGGCTGGTGGTGGATCTGGGCGTCCTGGGCGTCATGGTGCACCAGCAGCCCATGCATAATGGTGCATCAGCAGCCCATGCATGATGGTGCATCAGCAGCCCATGCATGATGGTGCATCACCAACCTCCTCCTCTCTCCCTTCCACTCTGCTATGACACCCACTCTGCTGTACCCGCGTGCAGGCTGGTGGTGGATCTAGGCATGCTGGGCGTGATGCTGCACCAGCAGCCCATGATGCCCATCACCTTCTATTCCTCACCGCCTGGCGTCAGCAAGAGCATGAGCCAAGAGCTCATGGAGGAAGAGATCACAGCCTGTAAGCGAGTCAGCTTATAACAGGTCCGTACCCCCCCTGACGTCAGCTGCAGCAAGATACCAAGATTTTCACGCATAGGAGATTGCAGTCTGTAAACGAGGCAGGTTATTGCGTGTCAGCTACAGCAGCAGCGTAAGCCAAGATGTGCTGGAGGACGATGCAGTAAGCCTATAGTGTGCTTTTTCCTGCTGATGTCAGCAGCAGTAGCGATACCCCACCTAATAGCTGGTAGTGCAGGAAATGAGTGCATGTGAGGAAATGAGTGCATGTGAGGAGATGAGTGCATGTGAGGAGATGAGTGCTTGTGAGGAGATGAGTGCTTGTGAGGAGATGAGTGCAGAATCTCACTTTCCTTCCCTCGCCCATTCCTTGTCCTCTTCCCTGCCCTCACCTGCCTCACCCGACTCACCTGCCTCACCTGCCTCACCTGCCTCACCTGCCCCCTTCACGCACCTCGTCCGTCAGTCACACTGGGCATGGCACTGCACGACCCCAGCACCCCCGAGTGGTCCATCTACATGCCCATGGCCAAGTCCCTCGTCCGCGCCCTCGATGCCACCCAGCTCGCTGCCAGGGAGCTGCTGCCCCACGTGCCCGTGAGTGCTGCTGCTGCCTCCGTTGCTTGCTTGCTTGCAAGGACCGGTTCTTCCTCGCATCAGTTGTAGGGATGCATGCACGCATGGGGGTAGGGATGCACAGGGTACGGATGCGTGGGGGTAAGGAAGGCCTGCACTTGTGATGAGCTATTACCTGAAATTGCCAAGTCCGGGCCGACCCATGCCCCCTTCGCCCCATCCCAGTCAATACGGGCCCGCCTGGGGCTGGCCAGTTTGCAATGATGCCTGGTCCACGGCCTGCCTGCCCCCCATAGTCGCTCCAAGGCGATGGATGATGGGTGGTGAAATATGGGTGATGGATGCGTGTATGGATGTATGAGAGTGATAAATGGGTGATGGATGCATGTATGGATGTATGAGAGTGATAAATGGGTGATGGATGCATGTATGGATGTATGAGAGTGATAAATGGGTGATGGATGCATGTATGGATGTATGAGAGTGATATGGGTGATGGACGGGATGGGAGATGGATGGGATGTGTGATGGATGAATGACACATCGCGCATTCCAGCCCCACTACCGCCATTTCTCTCCTCCAGTCCATCCCATGCCACTCTCTCTCCTCCAGCCAGCCCATCCCATGCCACTCTCAATTCTCCCTGATCGCGTATGTCATGTGTGCCTCATTCCTCATTCTCCCTCCCCCCGCCAGGTGGAGGGCTTTGTGAGTGTCGGAGTGAGCAAGCGAGCATGCATGGCTTGGCTCTCTGCCGCGCTCGATAAGGCACGCACCCCTTCTTTCTTATATGAAGCAGCTTGTTATTGTTTTTGCATTTGCTTTTTTTTTTCTTCCAAAAAAAAAGAAAAAGAAGAAAGAAAAAAATGGTTCTAATTCATCTGAAACTGAACGTGCCTTTACTTAATGGCTTTCACATTGCATCTCCTCCTTTCTTTCCACATCGTCATTTTTTCTGCCCTCAGCTCGCCCCCACTCTGTACGGAGATAACTCTAGCAACGGGAGCTAGTCTACGGGCTAGGCACGGGGTGGGAGTGATCGTAGCGTTCGTTTCTTAGTCGTTTCCTTGTGTTCTCACTACTTGCTGGTTCATGGGGAAAATTGGCAAGAGTTTCACTAGGAAAAGCTGCCAACAATGGTTCAGAATGGCAAGGCAACAATGACTACATCAGATGCTAGCATGCAAGCTGGTCGACTGCTAGCTTAGCACGGTCGACCACGTTCCAGCACGACAAAGTCGACCGCGCTTCAGCAGTGCAATGTGACGATCTGCCAACGCTGCAGGTCGACGGCGTGCCAACACTGCAGTAGGTCGGCGGCACAGCGTTGCACCCGCAGGACAGCAGCGTACCCGCTTCACAGGTGCTCGCAGCTGATTGGCGCGCTGTGCCGTGTCACTCGCACAGCGCAGACGCCATGCCAACCACGACCCACGTCTGCACCTGATCCTCCATGTCGACCTCGGGATACCACCACCGAGGTCGACCTTGCCAGAACCACGTGGGCAATGATCGCGCACCCCGCAGATCTCCGTCGCCCGGGTAACTTGGTCGACCCGGATACCACCAGGTCGGCGTCGACTTCCTCGAGGAAAGTCGACTGGAAGTTGCACGTGCTCGTCGACCACCCAAATCGACGACCACAGGCCGACTTCACCAAGTCGGTCATCCCACAGGTCGACGACAGCCTCGTCGACCGCAGCAGCTGTTCGCCGACTCCTCCAAGTCGGCCTCCCCAGGTCGGCGTCACCAAGTCAACGCTCGAGGTCGACCTCGCCAGGTCGACCACCCGAACTCAGCGCCCTCCAAAGTCGGCGCCCCTTCCAGGTCGACGTCTCCCCTCGTCGACCACCAGGTTGAAGTCGGCCGCCGGCTACCCAAAGTTGGCAGCCCTGCAGTGACCCCATGCAGGTCGACCAGACCTATCGACCCGCTTGCCCAAGTCGGCGTTGCCCACTGCTGCAGGTCGGCTGCGCCTCCCGCGCACCCGACCACGAATTCGGCTCTGCCCAAGCGAGGATGGGGCCAACACACAACTCCCATTAACACTCTGTCCCTCTCTCCCTCTCAAACTCAGCTGGACTCAACCATCCAACCTTTGCTCCTTACCTCATGCCACCCACTCTGCCCCTCTCTCTCTTCTCTCCCCACAGCGAGTGGTGGCGTTCATATCGTACGGCTACGATCTCATCAACTTTCAGCCCAACATGCAGCACCTGCTGGACTCCCTGGGTGCTGTTCCCATTCTGGGAAGGTTCTACGTGGATTACAATCTCACTCGCTTCCTTCACACCCCACAGCTGCGCCACATCCTGGTGAGAAGGGAGGGATTAAGAGATAGAGAGGGTTAGAGAGGGATGGATAGGGATAGAGAGGGATAGAGAGTCAGAGAGGCAAGGGGCAGTGGTTCCTTCCCTGGGTGCCGTGCCCATCCCGGGGTGGTTCTACGTGGATTGCAACCTCACCCGCCTCCTGCACACACCACAACTACACCACATCCTGGTGTGAGGTGAGGTCGGGGTTTGGGGTTCAGGTTAATGGAAAAACGTGTAGGGCCTAGGGAGGTAGGTAGGCAGGGGCGGAGCGGGAGAGGGGGTGGTCTCGCGGAGTTCTAATCAACAGCTCAGCCCGAAAGCTCTCCAACCATGCAACTGGCAACGCTTAAAAAATCTCCAAACCCTTTTTTTTCACTCCACGCATGATAGACAACAAATGCCACTGACTCACAAGCACTTCCCCCCCTCCTTCCCCCCTTCCCTTCCCTCTTTCCCTCCCACTCCCTCCCCAAACCCTCCTACCACCACCCCCCCTTCTCTCCCCCACCCCCCCCCCCCCCCCCCAACCCCTTTCCCCCCACCCCCATAGAGCTACACGGACCCCTACTTCTTTCGGGAGCGCCTCACCATGCCCAAGCTGCTCATCGCTGCCTCCAACGATGAGTTCTTCTTGATGGACGACTCGTGAGTGCATGCCCCCTTTTGAAGGAAGACTCGTGAGTGCCCCATGCCCCGCTAAGCAGCCCCCTTCATTGCTGCTGAATAGATGACTCGTGAGTGTCGCACGGATGACTCGTGAGTGTCGCATGGATGACTCATTGATGGACGACTCGTGACTGCACGTCTCCTGATGCCTGTCTGCATAGCCTTAAGGATGACTTGTGAGTGCCCCATGCCCCGCTAAGCCCCCTTAATGGCTGCTTGTAGAAAATGGATCGGTGAACTTGAGGGCACAATGTGAAAGGAAAATATATCCTTAATAAGAATTGGTGCAAGCCTGAGAGGCTAGACCAATCTCCTATTCCAAGGATGAGTTTTAGTGAAGTAAAAAACCACATATACATGGTTGAACTCTCGAGGCTAGTTACAGCTCCTCCAAGCTGAGTGCAAGGCTAGCCAACCTTGCCAAGCTAGCAAGTGAGGCCTCATGTTGCACATGTGTGCTAGGCTGGAACAACAGCCAACATGGTAGCATATGGCACACCATAGGGGCCAGCAAGGTGAGCATGAGATGAGTGGACATGTGGCAATGCCAACAGCGACCACACTTCACTGTGGGTGAGTGTGGTGGAGTGTGGACTTGTGATGGTGAGCATAACGAGAAGGGAAAGTGCAGCTGCTAAGAGTTGAACCCATGACCTCTAAGACCAAAGGTGAGAAATTGCCCACTGGGACATGCTGCACAACAGTGCTGAATAGACGCCTCGTTAGTGTCGCATGGATGGCTCGTACGCACGTCCTTTTTGCTGGCTGTCCGTGTAGTGCACGTCCCCTTAAGTGCCTGTTTGTTCTGTTTTTGCGCACGTCCTCATTCATTTGCAGGGAAAATTGCTTACGTATTTAGAAAAAATATACGTGGAAAAAAATGCATGTTGTTTTGTTTTCCCTTGAGTGCGCATCCCATGTCACACCACTTGCGCACGTGCCAAGACATGCGTGTTTCTGCTTTCTCAACTTCCTCTCGCCAACACGAGTACTGTCAGATAATGGTTCGGGGTACCTCAGAATGCCACGCTCCCTTTATTTCTCTTCGCACACAACACCTTTTGTCACCCTTGTTGGCTCCATGTGCACGTGTCCATTCCTCACACTCACTCTCCACTTGTGGATGCGCCTGGCAGGTACTTCTATTACAACGGCCTGCCACCCCCCACGCTGCTTAAGATCGTGGCCAATGTGGACCACATGGTCATTCAGAAGTCCTATTGGGTACGCCCTAACCCTCCAACCCTCTTCTGTCTCAGTGGGTATGCCCTTAACCTCCAACCCTCTTTTGTCCTGATGGGTACGCTCTTACGCTCCAACCCCCTTTTTGTCTCAGTGGGTACGCCCTTACTCTCCAACCCTCTTCTTGTGAGATTGTGAGCTTGAAGTGATTGACTAGTAATGAGCTCAAAGCTCTTTAAGTACATCAAAAATGGGCAAAGTATGGATGGGGAGGAATCAGGGACAATCTCTAGGGGATGGGGGGCAATCCCAAGGCAATCTCCAATTTGTGGGTTGGAGATTGCTTGGTGATCACATTTGGGTTTTGTTGAGATATGGCTGTACACTCAACAAAACACGAAGTGCAAGCTACACTATGCTAGAATATAAAAGTGCAAATACAAAAGTTGAGATTGAGGGCTAACACTAACACCCCCCCATAGACGTCAATCGAACTCATGACAGAGGAGGGGCACACAGCCCCATGGAGCCAAGAAGACAATAGTGAGGGACCTTCCCAAGGGGCTTGGTGAAGAGATCAGCCAAGTTGCAGTCTGATGCAACGTACTCCACCTTCAACTGATCATGCTGAACAAGGTCACGGATGAAGAAGTGACGAAGTTCGATGTGTTTGGAGCGAGTGTAAAACACTGGATCCTGGGAGAGGTGGATGGCACCTTTGTAATCACACCAGAGGGTGGGAGCGGGCTGAGGGTAGCCAAGCTCCTGGAGGAGGAAGGTGAGCCAATGGGCATCTTGAGTTGCCATGGTCTCTGTGTATATTTCTGCCTCACAGGAGGAGAGGGAGACTGCAGACGACCTGGTAGAGCGCATGCTAACAACTCCACTCCCAAGGGTGAAGCAGTAGCCCTGAGAGGAGTGTTGGTCGGTCTGGTCATCAGCCCAAGAGAAGTCACTGTAGCCCTCCAGAGTAGGAGAAAGACCACCAAATGTGAGGACATGAGACTTGGTGCCCTGCAGATGGCGCAGCACCCACTTTGCCGCCTTCCAGTAGAGATCGATGAAACGTCCAGGAGCCACATAGCGAGAGAGGACACTGACAGGATATGCCACATCAGGCCAGGTGCACATCATGGCGTACCTAAGGGACCTAACAAGGCCAGGGTATGGCTCGGAGCAGGCCTCTGGTGTGGGTATAGCTGGAGATGTGAGGAGGTGCTGTAGCGGCAGCGCGGTGGCCATGGGTGTGCAGGATTCCATCTCAAAGCGCTTGAGAACATTGTCAATGTAGAACTGCTGGGAGAACGAGATGGTGCGAGCCTGACGATCACGAATGATAGTGCTTGAGGTCACCAATGTCCTTCGTCAAGAGGGCCTTGCTCAGGGCGGTCTGGACAAAGGTCATCTGGGCCGAGTCTTTGGAGACGAGGATGAAGTCATCGACGTAGACAAGGATGTAGAATGGCTCAGAATAATTGTGAATAAAAACATTCGGGTGAGGAGATGATGGGTGAAAGTCCAATGAGAGGAGGAACTTCTTCACCCTGTTGTGCCACTCACGAGGAGCTTGCTTGAGGCCGTAAACAGGAGGATTCACCTTCCAGTCAGTGTTGGGAGGAAATTCTCCCGAAAAGTCTTCGGGTCAATCCATGAACACAGTCTCTTTGAGGTGTTCTTGCAGAAATGCCGAAGAGGCGTCCGTGGATTTGATTTCCATGTTTTCTCATGCGGCCGAATCCAAGAGCATGCGAACGGTGGGTGTTTAGGCCGTGGGAGAGAAGGTCTTGAAAACAGTCAAAGTGCTGCTGCTGAGTGAATCCTTGGCCACACAGCACGCTTTGAACATTGGGCCTCATCCAAAAGCTTTTTCACTTGAAACAACCACTTGCCTTCAAAGATGTTGACTCCTGGTGGTGAAGTTTCGTCGTCGAAGGAGTGGTTGCGAGTGAAGGCTTCGCATTCAGCTCCCATGGCAGTGCGCCACTCAGCAGCATAGGGACCCGAAAGAGCCTCTTGGATACTGAAAGGGATGGGGATGGTCGGGTTCTCCGAGAAGTTGAGTGAGGGTGAGTCGATGATATCGGGAAAGATGTGCTAGAGCCGAGGAATGACATCGTGAAGATCACACAGCTCCTCATGCCTAACTTCAAGAAAGGTAGAAGACACATCACCCCCAGCAGGAGGAGTCGGAATGATTACTGAACACCGAATGGCGAGTGCGAGTGGAAGTGCAGGCTTGCGAGACCGAGTGCCATGAGATACCGGAGATGAGGGTGGAGCGGGCGAGGCAGGAGGGGTCGGTAAAGGAGGCGGGGCCAGAGGAATCGGCCGCCGCTGGTACGTGATCGGTGCACTCAATGGTGGGAGAGCGGATGGCAGAGTGGAAGAGGGAATGGAGGGAGGACGCGGGATCGGATGGGTCGACCGCCGCTGGTATGTGATAGGTGCGCTCGGTGGTGGAAGTGCGGGTGGCAGAGTGGGAGAGGGGAGGGATGGAGGAGCAACTGCCGAGGACACTGGTGAGGGCGAGTTAGAGACCTCGGAGAGGGATGGTGCCATGGCAGGAGTAGTAGGAGGTGAGGGAGCTGGTGCAGACGGAAGTCTAGGAGGCACATCAAAGTCAGCCCACACAAGAGAGGGTGGTCCGGAGGGAGACTTCCCCCTTGACGTAGAGTAGAAAGGGCGAGTCTCTTCAGAGACAACGTCTCGGCTGCGGACAAGTTGGTGAGTAGTGGGGTTGAGGAAGAGGTAGTCAGGGGAGTTGGCATTATGCCCAAGATATATGCATATTCGAGTCTTGGGGCCGAGCTTGCCGTCTTGCTGCCGCCGAGCCTGAGGGTTGAGGAGAACATAGCGGTGCACCCTCAGACACAAAGAGGGCGAGCTGTGGGTGCTTTCCCGAGCGAGAGTGTGGTGGGAGTGGTGTCGGGAAGATGCGGGTGGGGTGGGGGTAAAGATTGTAGAGGAGGGCAGCATGGTAAAGGGCATACCCCTAGAATGAGAGTGGTGTGTGGGAGGGAGCGATCTACACCAAAGTGCGCTTACTGCTCTTTGCTATGCCGTTCTGCTGCAGGCTGTTAGGAAGGGTGAAGTTTTGCTGAATGCCAAGAGAGGAGCTGAAGGCTTCAAGCTTGGCGTTGCAAAATTCACCACTACCATCCGAATGGAGGCGCTTGACCTTGGTGCTAAAGGTGACCTGCGCCTGTTTGACCCACGCCATGATGGCCTCTGGAGCCTCAGCCTTAGTGTGAAAGAGGTGCACAGAGTCATAACGAGAGTGGTCATCAACTATTGCAAGGAAATAGCGATGACCACCCCGTGCGGTAACCGGCGCAGGGCCTCAGGCGTCCATGTGCATTAGGTCCAATGGGGCTGCTGCGACCGAGGGTGAGGCGGGGTGAGGTTGTTGGCACAGCTTACTCTTGGTGTAGTCAAGCACGTGGGAGCGGGAAAGTCAGGTGGTGGAGGAAGCGAGGCTGGTAGGCCGAGAAGAAGCTTCTTTGAGGCTATGTCCGCAAGCGTGCGCAAATCTGGGTGCCCGAGCCGATGGCGGTAGAGGATGGCCGGGTTGGTGAGATTGCGTCATGAGCATGGTGTGATAGCAGCCTGTGCTTGGGTGGTTGACTCCTGTGGGGCCGGTAAACGCATCGTGTAGAGACTGCTGCTGTTGAGGGTGAAGCGAGCTAAGAGCTTGTTTGTGAGTGGATCGATGATGTCACAATAGTCAGCGTTTGGAGGAAAGATGGTGAGAACCCCTGCCTTCTGAAGTTCTTTTTGGGCCACTAGATTGTGGCGTAGTGAAAGCACGCACATGCCAGTGACAGTGCCGGATGGGAAGGCGGGGCAAATGACTGTGGATGACCCCTTAGCATGAGTGGTGAAGCTCGAGTCAGCTCCCAAGAGAGGAATGGGTACCGAGTAGGGTTGAAAGGAGTGTTTCTCTTTGAGTGCTGTGTGCGTGGCCCCACAGTCGAGTGTGAATTCTATGGAGTGTGGTGTCTGTGGTGAGCTGATGTACTTCGAGGTCACTTCATTAATCATGGCAGTGCCAGGGAACAACATGTTGATACGCACATCAGCAGGAGCACTATCACTAGCACTAGCCTGAGCGGGTTCCTGTGTCTCGAATAGGTTGACCTTACGAGCGCGCATTCAGTTCGGCGGCTTCTTGTCGACTCCATGGATGGCCTAAGTTGCGGAAGATGTGTCTAGCGTCTTAGACGCTGGCGTCTAGACGCAGCGTCTAAGACGCTAGACGCAATTTTAGGCCAGATTAGACGCAGGATTAGACGAAAGCCCGGGCAGGCCAAAAAAAAGTTCAGGCAGCCTAAAAAAACTTCTGTGGGGCATGGAGAGGGTGGGGGACATGCATGCACATATGTCACGATTGGGTCAAATTTTCCCCGTACCATAACTTTTTCCCCATACTTAAAGTTCACAAAGATCTTCACATCTCATCATATATAGTTCGGTTTCCATGTCTCTCTAGCAGTAGCAAACACGAAGGAAATTACTACTACTACATCCCTGCAATCACTAGGCCTCCTAGCTCTCCTCCTCCTCCTCCTCCTCCTCCTCCTCCTCCTCCTCCTCCTCCTCCTCCCCTTCCTCCTCCTGCTGCTGCTCCTGCCCCTCCCACTCATCGAGGCACACGTTGTCCTCGTCCGCCTCCACCTCCCCATCCTCCTCCAACTTGTACCCCTCGGGGAGGGGAGGGGGGGGAATGTTCCCCTCCACCACCCCCCCCTTCCTTCCCACCACACTAGGCCCTGTGTTAGCCGCACCCTTGTGGAAGCTGTGCACAACATTCCAGTTGTGTGCAACGTACAGAAGGTCGCGCACCTTCTCCGACCCGAGCCGGTTCCTGCGCGCCGTGTGCGCGCCATCCCAAGTAGACCAGTTCCGCTCGCACGGGGAAGCGGAAACGGCCTGGGACAGTGTGCAGCGCGCAAGACGTGCCAGCTCGGCGTACTCTCATCCATTGAACTGCCACCGCAACATCACGTTCCCCTTCCCCAACTGAATCGCCTTACGCCCCTCGATCGCGGTCTCCGAGCCGAATCCCCCTTCGCCGTTGATGTAGGCCGTCACCCCCTCATGCAACGGCCGCACCGGTCCCTTCTTGCCGCGGGCCTTCTTCCAATATGTGTCGACGAAGGCCTTCTGGCACTCCAGCCACTCCTGCATGACCTTGGTGCACTCCGGATCCTGCAGAAAGATCCCCTCCTCCAAGTTGGCCGGGTTCAAGATCCGGCCTGCCACGTGGAGGGGGCATGCCAAGCTCTCGTCCCAACGCCTCCTCAAATGCTCCCGCACCTTCTCCTTATCCACCCCGCTCAGCTTGCACTCGTTCCCATCCAGCAGCTTATCCAACTCCTCCATCAGCTGCAGCAGGATGTCGTAAAGCTGGCCCATCATCCCCTTCGCTGCTGAATCCGTCTTCCGCATCATGATGTAGAACACCTCCATCAGCTGCACAAAGAAGTCCACCTTCTTCCACCACATGGAGTCCATCACCCACCCTTCGAAATCCGATCCCGTCAGCGTGTTCCCCCCCTTCTCCGCCCAGTCCTTGTGCGTCACCATCGCTGTGAGCTGGGGGCGAATGGCGCGCAGACGAGACACTGCGATGTACTGCGTTCCAAAGCGCGTGCCTACCGGGCGCAACGCCTGCAGCGATTTCTGCTCGCTGTGCAGCTCCGGGAGCTGCAGGAAGGCGCGCGTCCACTGGTGCCCGCGCACAAAATTGATGATATTGTCGGCCTGACTCACGACCACCTGCGCCCAGTCCATCTTGCCGATGTCCTCCATCAGCAGGTCCAGCACGTGCGTGGCGCAGGGAACGAGGTCGAGATGCGGCCAATCCTTCTGCAGCAGCTTGCCGGCAGCTTTGTAGTTGCTGCCGCCGTCCGTGCAGAGCGCGACGACGTGCTCTGCCCCAATGCGCTCGATGATCGGCTGCAGGACGCCGGCGATGAACGCGCCACTCTTCGTCGCAGCCTTGCAGTCGACCATCTCAACGAAGACAGCTCCTGTGTCGTTGATGCAGATGATGTTCATCTGCGCGCGGCCGCTCTTGTCCTGCATCATGTCGCTGACGATCTTCACGCCCGTCTCCCTCCACGACTTAGTAACGGGCGACAACGCCTTCTCGATCCACTGCTTGCAGTCCAGCAGGCCAGCGCCTCCAACGTAGTGCCGCTTGGGGGGGACATATCCCTGGCCGGCGGCGGCGACGGCACGCACCATGTTGAGGAAGAGCGGGTGCTCGCACTGAGACTCTGATGTGCGCGTCCCAGAGAGGTAGAGGACAATCGCTTCGTCGGCCGTACGCTTTGCCGCGACGCCACCCTCGCCGTAGAAATCCTCCATGCGCACGCGCTTCGCCTTCCCTCCCGCCGCGCTCTTCCCGCTCACCGCATCGAGCGCCGCATCCGGCGCTTGCGCCTTTTGGTTGCGTGCCCGAACCTTCGCCTCGAACATCTCGCGAATCTCCTTCGAAATATGCTTTGGCACATCCGCGCAAACGATTCCCGCCTCGCGCCGCCGGTGGGGATCGTTCCACTCGGCGAGGTGCTCGGGGCAACGGCTACTACTCCACGAAAACTTCTTGCCACACCACGAACACTCCACTTGCTTGCCTTTTTTCTTCGAATCCATAAAAAAGTAAAAGTGCTTGTAGATCGGGTGTTCGCGAAACTTAGACTTCTTAATTCCTTCCATTTCATAAGAAACACGAGCGGAAGAACCCTCGCCGACGGCATCGTCATTCGCGGAGGCGGAACTAGACGCAGGAGTAGGAGACGACATGGTTTCGCGAAGGATCTAGCAAAACCCTAAAGGATTTTTGAAAGAGAATTTGGTAGAAATGAAAGATGGGGAGCACAAATGGGGGATTTGTGCTCCCCAACCTTTTGGTGGTTAGCCATAGAGGTTGGGTTTTCTAGATACTAAGCAGTGCAGTGAGGTTTGTGTTAAATTTTGGTTGGGGGGGTATCAAATTTGCTTGGGGGGCTGGTTTCTATGGTCGAAATGGGGGGGAGGGGGTGCAAATGTCGCGAAATTGAATTTCGCGTCGAAATCGCGAAATTCAATTTCGCACGCGCGATTTTTTTTTCCGGGCTTCCCGAGTTTTTTTTGCCCAAGCGTCTAGCGTCTAGAGGTGCGTCTTGCGTCTTCTGCAACTAAGTGGATGGCATACAATTCGTCGTCCTTCTTCTTGAACCACGTAGCAAGGGGGCGGTTAGTGCCACCACACACTCATCCCTTGCGGTTGCCATACATGGAGGGAAGCGGTTGCGCTGGAAAGGTGCCGAGGTAACACTTGCTTCAGGCATGGGAGCACGGAGGGCGTAGACCTTGACTTGAGCCGTGGTGTCTTTCTCAGCGGAGAGACCTTAGCAAAGGTGAGGTCTTTCGCCGAGAGTGTGAGGAGCATCTTCCTCGTGACTTCGTATGCCAAAGTGAGGCCGACAAAAGAAGCGGATGCTGGAGCTTGCTCAGAGAAGACTATGCCGAGTTCCTTGCGTTCGCCATAAATAGTTTGAACCTTGACGATGTAGTCGACCATGCTCGGGATGAGAATGGCCACCTTAACCGCCGTCTAGTTCATAAAACGATCCTGAAGATGCTTCCATATGGCGTTGGAGGTAGGGTAGTTGTGGAAGGTATTGACAAGATCGGGTGGGGTAGTGCCCATGAAGACGCTAATGATAGCCGCATCGGCCTTCTCCCAACGGCGGTACTTGTCAATGGCTTCCTCGTACTCCCTAGTTGCGGTCTCATTAGTAGGATCGAACTTCTCTATGGGGACGGGGGCTGTTTTCCCTTGCCATGGTTGAGAAGGACATCCTTGAGGTCCAACCCTTGTACCTCACGACTCAAGAGGTGCTTGTCAACCTGATAGCTCCATGCCTTGTAGTTGGAGCTTGTGCCGTCAGTTTCGAGGCGAAGAGGGGTGATGGGGTTGGCGATAGTGAAGGAAGCGAACGCCATGTTGACAATATTTCTTCCTTTCCGCACGAAGCGCAGCTCTTATGTCGCCGTAGGCAGAATTGTAAGGTGGGGTTTACGAAGGAGAATTGTAAGGTTTACGAAGGAGAATTCTAAGTTAGGGTTTACGAAGGAGAATTGTAAGGTAGGGTTTACGAATGAGAATTTGAAGGATTGAAGTCGTGGTGACAGTAGGGAGATTGGCGCGGGAAAATTTCCGATAAAAGATGTCGCGAATCAACGGCAACGGGATTGAAGGCGGCTTCGCGGAAGAATGCGGGAGGAGAATCCGCAAAGGTAAGAGGATCACGATCCGCGTGTGCGGTTATGCAGCTCTGATACCATGTGAGAACTTCAGCTTGAAGTGACTGACTAATAATGAGCTCAAGGCTACATCAGAAATGGGCAAGGTATGGATGGGAAGGGAATCAGGGACAGTCTCTAGGGGATTGGGTGCAATCCCAAAGCAATCTCCAATTGATGGGTTGGGAATTGCTTGGTGATCACATTTGGGTTTGGTTGGGATGTGGGTGTACATCCAGCTAAACACTAAGTGCAAACTACATCATGCTAGGATGTAAAAGTGCAAATACATAATGTTGCGATTGAGGGCTAACACTAACACTTCTGCCTCAGTGGGTACGCTCTTACCCTCCAATCCTCTTCTCTCCTGCAACTCTAGTTTTGAGGCTTCTTGGAGCACTCATTCAGATGTCACAGTGGGTAAGGTCCTCCACTCTTCTCTCCCCTCCCATCCACTCCCATGCCGCTTCTCGCCTTAACTCTTTTCTCCACCTTCCCATCAACAACGCAAACTCCTTCTCACCCTCACCGCCCTTCCTTCGCAACCTGGCTCGCCAACCCTTTTCCCTTCTGTCAACCTCTTCCACCTCACCCTCGTGCCATCTTGACTCTCGCTTCTTCCTCTCACCTTCACCCGCCTCTGTTTCTGCTTCCTCTGTGGCCATCCCCCTTCTTTTATCCCCTCCCTCTCCCCCACCCCGCCCAACCCCTCTTCTCCCCTCTCCCTCCCCCCCCACACTGCCGACATCTCCTTCCGCTTCTCACCCCTATTTCCTGTCGCCTTTATTTCGATGTCACCCCTCCCCCTCCCTGGTTCTCTTGTTGTCTCCCACCCAATCTTTCAGGCCTATGATGCTGCCATCTCCTTCCTCGCCTCTCTCCTGCACGTCAACTCCTCCTGCGCCTCTCTCCCCGCCTCCTCCCGTCCCTCCCTCACCTGGACTCGCCCCTCCACCCCCACCCCCGCCGCCCTCATTCCCCACACCACCTCCTCTCCAGACCCAACTCCCTCTCACAACCCTCACAGCTCTCAGCCTTCCAGTCTCACAGACGCAGAGGCAGCAGCAGTGGGGGCGGCAGTGGGGGCAGCAGTGGCAGAGGCACAAAATCCCCCCTGGGAGTGCGTTCCTGATCTGCCAGCTGTTGATTGGCCGCGGTTGAGGTGGCAGTTTGATTGGCCCACGTTCACGATCCATGCCACGTCAGACAGGAAACCATTGGCTGTTAGGGCATGGTGAGAAGGAAGAGGGGGGAGGGGGGAGGGGGGGGGAAGTGGGAGACGGAGAAGGGGGAGGGGAAGGAAGGCATTGGCGGATAGAGCGTGGTGAGAGATGGGGAGGGTAATGGGTAGGGTGATGGCGGATGGGGTTGGAGAGGGTGATAAGGGAGGAGTGGATACGTGGAGGGGAGTGCTAGTAGGAAGGAATGGAAGGCGCAGGACTCTCATCCCGCATTGCTGTAAGTCACATCAGTTCCATGCCCCCCTCTCCCCGGATGCAGGACTGGGCGCACGAGGCCGGGCAGCAAGCGGCGGGACTTCCGGTTCATTGTAAAGCAAGGGCTCACCGGGTGGTGAGTGCGGTGCAGGGGAGGTGGTAGGGTGGTGAGCGGAGGGGAGGTGGTAGGGTGGTGAGTGCTGTGGAGGGTAGGTGGTAGGGTGGTGAGTGCTGTGGAGGGTAGGTGGTAGGGTGGTGAGTGCTGTGGAGGGGAGGTGGTAGGGTGGTGAGTGCTGTGTAGGGGAGGAAATGGGTCCCGAGGCTCAGGTGAATGGTGGATGAATGTGGTGGTTCAACCAGGCCTTCAAATATTCTGCTTCGTATTCAACCAGGTCAACCAGGTCAAGCAGGTGGTGAGTGCAGGGAAGTTGGTGAGTGGATAGCTTGGTGGAAATGACTCGCGTTTGATATTTATATCGTGTCTAGCCTCCAGTGTTGTTATTCCGGTTGGTGCTCCATGTGTTGGTGCTCCATGTGTTGGTGCTCCATGTGTTGGTGGTCCATGTGTTGGTGGTCCATGTGGAGGTGGTGTTGCACCTGGTAACAAATCTGCTCGTGTGTTCATTGCCACGTGAGGGAGCAAATGGTTCTCTCCTCTCCTCTACCCTTACCTCTCCATTCATCTCCACCCCTCCTCCCCTCCTGCCCTGCTCCTCGCCAGCACGGTGCCATTCAAGAGTGCGCCGGGCAGCTACATTGCCAAGTTCGGCACGCTCTGTGTGCAGCCCATCCTGTTCCTCCTGCACACCGTCTCGCCGCCCGCGCTGCAACCCGATGGGCTCTGGTACTTTAATTCCTCAATCAGAGACATTCCCAAGGTGAGTGTGATCAAGTGTGATTGCGTGTGGTGAAAGGAATAAGTGTTACGGAGTGTATTTCTTTTTCGGAGAGCTAAAAGTTCAATAAAGTGTGGAGATGTGCTAGTTGTCTCAGGGCATGTTACATTTTTCGTTCTCCATGGTCCGTACTGTCCGCCATCCGGACGAACAGCTGGTTAATCTTGCCGCACAAACTCGTAAAGATGTTCCATACACCATGCAAGTACACTACGGGAAACCTAGGTACAGTGCGGTGCGTTTGATTCGGAAACGGTGCGGAGCGCTTATGGATGAATGGAAGTGAACATGGTCTCCCAGAATGTGTTTGGAGTCCTCTCCACCTGTGTTTGTCCTGTTTTTTCGGCAGATTTGGTAGAGAATTAGAATCATTAGAGTGTACAATTTGTTCTGTACTGTCAGCATTCTTGTACAGTTTATTGCGGTAAGATATCAGAAATGCATACAAATTGTGGAGCCGCATCCTTCGCTGGCAACGAAGTGTGATTCGGATCATACCGCTCAGTTGTCATCCGTCAAATTCTAGGCGAAGAACGGAATCCCACCCTTGTACACCCACGTCATCCAATCTTCCGTGCTAGCGCTTCTTGTTCCCAGCTTACGATTGGTGCTAGTTCGTCAGTGAGCATGCGATGTCGCACACGTCCGTACCGTTGATAAATCATTTTCCTTTTTTTTTTGCGCTCAATAGCGCACGGACTGTGTCCGTTCGTTTGCTGGACTGTCCTAACGAGCAATGATATAATTGACGGGCGAAAACCAGGTACGAAATCGATTTACCAAGTCACAATAACAGCGGCTCGGAAATCCATTGAGCACCGCCAATTGCACAAATTGATAACATTGGGCAGAGTTGCGCGACTCGAAGTACATCGAACGAACGATGAGAGAGCACTGGAAATGCTTAAACGAACCAAACGGAAAATCGTACTAGCACAGAGTGGACTCCTCTGGTTCTCGTTTTTAACTAGGAACCCATCGAAACCCCTGACGAACCCCCGCCACCGAATCTCAGTGTACCTGCAATTTCTTTTCCGATTCACGTTGTGGGCCTCACGAAAGTTGCGATATAATGTTGATCATGTTACAATATTTGAGATACAGAAAGCTCCACAGTCACTGTCTGGACGAGGCACGGTCCGAACGTATGCCCCGTTCCATCCGCATGCGCTATTAGTACCATACAAAAACCAGCGTCTGGACAAATGCGTACAAAAAAAAAAAAAAAAATGTAAGACTCCTTGAGGGAGGAGCAGCAAGTGATGCTCTGCTTCAGCTACTATTGTGTTCATACTTTCGGTGGCTTTTATAGCTGTGATGTAATTTCAAACAACCTGGTTCTTCTAAATTCACACCAGATGATGCTATATCCTGCCCTTTACCATCCTATATGCCTTCACAGTCCAACGCCCACTTCCTCTGCTTGTTTTATCAAATGTCCCTTTTATTCCTTGACCAAACTTTTACCTTTGTCATAGCCTTGTTTCACCTGAATGCAAGTTTCTCACATTTACTCTGTTCTCTCCATTGTGCTCTTGTGGTCAGGTGGGGTATCGAGCACTGTTTATTGAAGTTGATTTCAAGCATGGACCCTACCATAAGCCCTTTGTTCTCACCACTGAATCCATGATAGCACCAAACACATTTCCATTTGCCCCATGCAATAGCACTGCTTGCTTGACTGAATTTGCATGACTTTGCTATCAGGTTTTTCCTTTTGTTGTGACAACAAATGTAAACAAACAATATGCACTCACCAATTCGGCAAATACTTCAAAATTTTCCTGCAGACCCTCCCTTTCCTCCTTTTTGTTGTACCTGTATTCCCCCGGATAAAAGACCCTAGGGTCTGTTATTGATTTCATAAAAAAATATGGGGGGACTTATTAAAATGTATTAAAAATATAAGACCCGGGTCTTACTATAAGTGCTATGTTTTTCTGAATGTAATGAAATGCAGGGGTGTTGTAATGCTGTGCTGCATTTTTAAAACAGGGAAACACCACGCGAATGTCCTGGGCCAAGGAAGCGGGCACAATCCATGAAGCATCTGAATGCTTCATGCACATTGGCCCATATTGAGTGGTAACCAGCACGCTAGATCACGGGGCGACGGACGTGTACCACGTCCACTGCATTATTACAGACCGCCTCGGAACAGAAACAGAAACAGGGACTGATATTTTCATGTTAAAAACACTTTTGAGGTTTGGGGGGGGGTTTATAATGATTTCACCCCAAAGGGGGGTATAACGAAAATAGCCCGTAATAAAATACCCCCCCCCGTATTAAAGACCCGGGTGCATTATTACGGGGGGGTTTTATCCAGGGGAATACGGTAAAAGGAATCTTAGGAATTCCTAGACATGTGATCAACACAAGTGTTCCATGTTTATTTCTTAGATGGGCAACCTTAAATTAACGCATACTACTGTCAAACTAGGAATGGATGATTGCATTAGGTCAAAGGGGGGTACAAGTACAAAGTAGAGAGAAGTGTTGTACCCCCTAAGGCTAAACCCAATACAGCCTAAGTAAGCATAACATATGTTTTGACACACCCCCATAGGCGAAGTGGGGGATAGCCAGAGCAAGTAATGGTCACAAGACCAATCAAGAGAAGAAGCAAAACAAAGCAAAGCTCAGGGTGGATCTCAAGTGTAAGCATGCAGGTGTACTCATATATATCAATGTACAATAAGGGCAAGGCAACATCAAGAGACAAGCAGGTGAGGCAGAGTGGGCACAAGCCCAAGAGCAGTGCAGAAACGCTGATGATCACCAGACCCAAGTGCCTTGGCGAAAAAATCAGCAGTGTTGGCCTGTGTGGCCACGAAAGCAAGACGAAGCTGACCACGCTACTGCAGCTCTCGTGTGAGGAAGTAACGAAGAGCAATGTGCTTCGTTCTGTGCTCCAGTCTCTGGTCCTGGCACAAAGCAATCATGGCCTTCTTGTCGACGTACAGAACTGGAGGAGAACAAGGCCGCTCACCCAAGTCGGTCAGCAGGTAGGTCAGCCAGCGGAGCTCCTGTGCAGCCATAGCCCCAGCATAGATCTCAGCCTCACAGCTGGAACTAAGTACAGAAGACGAGCGAGTGGACCTCCACGAGACGGAACCAGTGCCACGGCTGAAACTGTACCCCGAAGTCGACCTGTGAGTCGTCTGGTCGTCAGCCCAAGAAGCGTCTGAGTGACCAGTGAGAATAACTGAACACTGTCCTCCAAGCACAAGCCCCATGCCCGATGTACTGCACAAGTAACACAGTACCCTCTTAGCAGCTTCCCAGTGCACCTTCCGATGTCTACCGGGAGCCACGTAGCGAGCCAGAAGGCTGAGAGGGTACGCGAGGTCAGGTCGTGTGCACGTCATCCGGTACATAAGGCAACCCAAAAGCTCTGGATACGGACCACTCAGCTCTACGGACTCGTTCGAAGGTGGAGTTGAGAGCGAGTGGCCTGTAGGCAGAGGAGTGGGCTGTGGCGAGGAGAACTCGAAGCCGAAGCGCTGAAGGACCTGCTGCACCATGTGTGACTGAGTCAGGGTGATGGTGCACTGTGCTCTGTTCCGGGTGATATGCAAGCCAAGATAGCTCCGCATCTCACCCAGGTGGCCCCACTGTGCCAAGATAGCTCCGCATCTTGAGTAAGGCTTTCTCCTTACTATATCTTGTACCTTGCTCAATAGTGAAACACATTTTTTCTCGACTTTTCTCTTGCTTCAATTCTCTCGACACTCAAGCTATGCCTCCTAAGCCTAAACCTAGTTTCCTAGGTGCTTAGTATTTTGACATGGTCATCTTCGGGGTGGGGGAGAAGGCCTGGAAGAAGTCGACCCCCTCACGCTGACTGAAGCCTCGAGCAACGTAACGCGCTTTGAAGGCAGGCGGAGAACCCGGTGGCCGCTTCACCCTGAAAATCCACATGCCATCGACTTTCTCCCCAAGTGGGGGAACTGCATCGATGTAGGTGCCTGTGGACTTCTAGGAAGCCATCTCTGCGTCCATGGCTATCAACCACTGAGAGGAGTATGGACCCGTGATCGCGTCTGCGTAAGAACGCGGCGTCGAGATGTCCAGTGCATCCGGGTCTCCCTCAGGGCAAAGTAGCGTGGATGCGAGATGAGGTGCAGTGGCCGCTAGGCACTCTAGGGTCAATTTCAGACTCAGGGTCAGGAACGTGAGGAAGAGAAGAGGCGGTAGGTGACGGTAGGACAGCACGCTGTGGAACAGAGGATGGACGAAGTGCCATGATGTGTGTGCAAGGGACAGGTGGGGGACGAGGACGCACAGCACGACGAGTACGGACAGGAGTGACAGGACGCGACACACTCTCTCTACTCTCAGTGAGGGACTCTGTGACCGCAGTGTAAGGAGCAGGAGCAGGCAGTGGGGAGTGAGACAGTAGCTGTGGCTGAGACTGGTCAGGCGGTGGAAACAGTAACGGAGGAGTAGTGCCAGCAAAAGGGAACTCAGTAACAGCAGACAGAAGACTGAGAAGGTGACTAAGTGCAGACTGCTGCGCCTGAGTAGTCGCACCCCTAGAACCTCCAGCTCCAGTAGTAACAGCACCCCCATAACCAGTACCTCTAGCTCCAGTAGCAACAGCACCCCCAGAATCAGTACCTCCAGCTCCACCACCGGGACTGCCCCAACGAACAGCCCACTCGCGAAGCTGCTGCGGCGAGAGCGACTCCTGCCAACTAGCACCAGGAACAAGGACTCTAGTACCTCCAGTGCCAGCACCTCCAGTACCTCCAATTCCAGGAACACCAGCACTAGCACCTCTGGGTCCGGTACCTCCAGCTCCAGTACGTCCAGCTCCGCCTCCGGGGCTGCCCCACTGGACAGCCTACTCTCGAAGCCGCTCCGGCGAGAGAGGCTCCTGCCGACGTGAGCCAGCACCACCAGTAACAACACCCAGAGCACCAGTACCTCCAGTAGTACCAGTGCCTGCAGCACTAGAATATACGAAACGACCTACACTAGACATGTACTCTAAGGGGTACATTCCCTTA